GGAAAGAAGGGCAGGGAGGGAGGAATGGCGTGTCGGCGGGATCATGCATGTCCGGGCACGCATTAGCTGTTGTTGTTCTTAAAGTGGGCGCCAGTCAGTCCACCGTGATCGGAGACCCTCGTAGTGGACATCTAGGTCAACATGGCGGTTAGTGCTATCTGCACCGGGGTACCAAGCTTCGAGGAATTCCCGTGCATGTTTGGTGTTAGCCATGGTGGCCACTTCAGTACTGTCCTAATTGAAGCGGTGGTCACAATCAAGAGCGTGTGCAAACACGAGGGATAAGGGGTCGTGTCGGCGGATAGTTAAATTGTGTTCGTTAGTGCGAGTCCTAAGTTGTCGACCCGTCTGACCAATATAAACGCAACGGCTGTTAGCGCACGGGATACAGCTGGACCCACAACACCAACTCCCGTCGCCTGCACCCATCACAACACGATGCACACCTCCCCCTCGCAAGGTCGTCTGCTTACCTTTCTGCCTGCGTCCTCAACCAGCAGTGTGACAATCCCACCTCTCGCTATTCACTTTGTCTGACGACGGGTTGGTGCAATCAGCTCGAAAATTCATGAGTAAAACTCTTTCCGACGGACTTCCTCCTTGCATCATATTATCTCGGAATGCATATTACTTCAGTTATTCAATATGTTCCGAATGCTAGAGAACAGGCGCGGCCCAGGTAATTGAATAGAAGAAGCGGGGAAGGCGATAGCTGGGACCAACTGTTTATTTATCTGACGTTTCAAACTCTCACGCGAGCTCATAGTCAAGGAATGCAAAAAGTGTACAGCTAAGCGCATTCTTAGTTCACCTCTGCCGGGGATGACCTTTAGCTGCGCTGCTGATTTGTTCACGCAGTGCTTGCTAGGCGATTGGCAGATCGACATGTCGATTAATCGAGTCCTCAGTTGACTGCCACGCCTACTGAAGCAGGCGAACAACTCGGTCGTCCGACTGTCCCAATATTCTCACGTACTGAAAGCCAAGGCCGTGCCCTGGCGAGGAGGCGTGGGTGGCTACCAAGGAGAGTTTATCCTTCCGTCTCACAGCCAACTCATTTTCCTGCAATCTCGTGCAACCCTGTTGCCGGTTTCATCAACATAATTGGCTTGACCACAACTTTAGTCTATCCGATAAATGACCCCTTAAGCTTAAGATGGTTCGAGACACAATTGTACAGTAAGTTTTCGCTAAGTCTTTTATTTTAGTACAAGCATTTTTTCCTGAAATTTCACATCCTCCTTTTTCTTAGGACTACAGCGAACGAAAAACGAGTGCGCTGCAAGCTACTGCAGGTAGTTCATACGGCTTTTAAGTGTCGATTCGCATGGATGATGTCATACCAGCAGAATTATTGCCAAAAAATGTGGATTACATCGATATCTTTGAGGATTCTTGTTTACTCCTAGCCACTGATAACAGTGAGTGCTCCAATGCCTCTGATGGTAATGTTATCTTAAAAACCCCACTTGAATTGCAGATGTACTGTCACAGTTTTTAGTAAGTGCGGCCAATCGAGCTGCGTTGGAAGACAGCATCGTTATTTATTTAAGACACCGTGAGCTTGACCGGATTAGCCCTTTGGCGGTTCATGGGACTCCCTCGTTCAACTGTGGTGCCTGGGATCGAGTACAGTTTGCGTATGCCCTCATTCTTGTTGCCCTTCTAAAACGTTCTTTGCATGCCCTATCATATATCCCCGACGTATTACGGCACCAGCCTCCTAACGTTTGTACCTATACCGCCGACGGTCAAAGTAAAGTCCTTGGGACCCTTACATGACATGCCATCTAACGTATTTACGTATAATCATCTCTCTACAATATCAGGCTTGATTGAGTCCTCATTAAGTCTCGTCCGCAACTGCTTCCTCCCAACATGGTCGGAAACAGGAATAGAAGCGCTCCGTAAAATACGGGCAGTTTCAATGCACCATTTGTCTCGCGTTCGCCTTTGAGCCGTGGCTCCCAAGTTCCAGAATTCTGCTGCAGACTTATCAGTGAAGACTTCTCAGCAAGTAACAATACACCCCTTATGACTTCATCCAGCAAAAGTACTCCCATTTAACCTGGGAATCTTTTCTCACCAGGGGCTGCCCGATGTAGGCAGCTACCAGCCACCCTCGATACACATTCGATCGGCACGGGCAAAATTAAACAGAACCGCTTAAGACTTTAAGAGTCGTGTTCTTGTTAGCATTACTAAGAAGTAATCGCTCTTCCACATGACCAAAATTTGGGAAAATCTTAACGGCACTGTCTGTACTCGCTTCGCTAACGTCACTGCCCAAAAGCTCGTTGCAGGTCAACATTCAGGCTATGTTGTTTTTTAATCAGACGATATAGAATGAAAGTAATTAAGTCAGACTCAGTGATCTTCAAGAGGAGAGTTATACCAGATGACATTAACGCCTCGTGGAAAATTCCTGGCTAGCATGTGGTTGTTTCTATCTTCCCAACTTGAACCTATTTTAAACGACCCTGTTCAGTGACCCGTCAAAGTCGTTCATTTGCTGAATCTCCGTTGTCTTGTGTTCCCATGCCTCTGGTTGATCAGATGACCGCTTGCATGCTTGGTACTTAAGGGAACGGACGATCATCTTATTTTTATTGGTTGACAAGTGAAATACTGATGCAAATTCGTGAGAAATAAACAATTACCAGCCGCAGGTTAGAAATCCTGTCAGGAAGCGTCTCAACTATACATTCCACTAGGTGACTGCCGCCAAGACCTACTACTAAGGAGACGGAGCTCATGCCGATAAGGTATCTCATCAGCACACACCACGCCATTCGATTAACACGGTGCTTTAAGACCCCTCTACGTCCGAGTATTTAAGTATTAATAATCCATCACTTAGATAGGCTTGACCTTGCAGACTTGCGAACACCCTGAATAACCGGCATCTTGATAAACGTTATTATTATCGTGGAGGCCATCGTAGGTCCCTGTATATTAACAGCTTCACTTTTTAGCTCACGAGTTGGTCTGCCATAGTGACTTTGCATCTCTTCAACGTTGCAGTATTCTAACACCCTGACCAGTAATAATTCAACCGGAGGTCTTCTGAATTGACAGTCTGGTGGATGCCTATGCAGGTTTTCCTCTCCCCTCACAAGGGTTTCGCATGGCTATCCGATGACCTGGTCGTTTTGGGCCTTTTAAAAACATCGCCCGAACAGCATCTTCTGTCTCAATAACGGCATAACAGGGGCATAGACATCCCCTAGAATATGGCGCAAAACTGCCTGACTTACGCGGTGGAGGGGGGTATCTATTCTCGTGACTCACGTAACTAACCTTGGCTAAGCGCTTTGAGCAAACTGAGTTATAAGAGTATCAGTTGTCCTTATTGAGCCAATTACGGTCTTCGATGTATGTTTCAGGTATCCATCCAAAGATACTCTTCTGCATTCGCTTCGCAACCTTCATCTCCGACCCAATCCTCCAGATCTTATAATAATCGAGCATGTAGAACGCTTCTTCGACAGCAGCGTAAGCCATTTAATACAGAATTATAGTACCCAAATTCGCCGCTTTAGTGTTAGGGTTCTCTCATACAGATTTCAACTCATGTTTTTTTGGTATCCTTGTATATCTCGGAAAACCTGATCCATCGTGCGCGGCCCATGCGTGTGTGGCATGCGCAGACGGTCCGTTTAGTTCTCTCACTGCACGTGATTCCACCTCTGGTCGTTTTGACTCGCTCACGACACCGGATTCAGGTGGGTGAGGAAGGAGAGAGTGCGGTAGATGTAGCGCAAGTCTACTATCATGCGCACCCCCTAATGAAGGCCAACATTCGGGTGTGGCGTCAAGGCCCGGTTACCGGCTCACACCGCGCCCCTTGGGATCCGTGCCATCTCCTTCTTATGGTGTGAAATCCTGGTCAGCGTACGTTGTGGACCAGGATATGTGGTGGTACGCCCAGGTGCGGGCTTTCGCTGTGTTAGCAGATTCGACTGCTTTGAAGAAGAAGAAGAAGAAGAATCGAGCATCGGAACAATTCGTTTATTATCCTGAGCTTTCAGACTCGTACAGGAGTCCATCGTCAGAGGTAGTGGCAGAAACAGGACAAGCGGCAGTTATAAGGCACGTAGACCCAATCATCGACCGACGTCGCACGACTGGAGGTGACTACGAAGGGCTCTGTACGCCGGCGCCAGATCGATAAATCGATTGACCGAGTTCTCATCCGAGGCCCAGGCTTCAATCAATTCTCGGCCTGTTTTGTTTCCGGCGTGGGCAACTATTTTGGTGGCTGCGAAGTCAAACTCGTGACCGATTTCGTAGGTGTGGGCGGCCACTTGTGACAATGCGTCGCCGCGCCTCACAGCCAGCTTATGTTCATGTATGCGCGATCCGAGCATGCGTCCAGTCTGTCCTGTGTAATTACAAGGACAATTTTGACACGGAATGCGATACACTACTCCAGATTGCTCTTCGGGTTTTAACCGGTCTTTGATCTTCATGACCCTGTTGCGCATGGTGGCTTTGGGGCGGTGTGCGATTCCAACCCCTAGCTCCGCGGCGATGCGCTCGGTCGCTTCTGAAACACCCTTGATGTATGGCAGAGAGTGCCACATCGTCGGTGGCGTTGATGTTCGAGTTCTCTGGTGGCGACCGCGTAGGCAGCGACTCATGAATGCCCTTCGGAAAGCCATTTTGCACAAACTGGTCGCGGAGATAACGGGTCTCACGTGCTCTGTCCTCCGGTTTGTTGCAGTGAGTTTGAATCCGTTTGAAGAGCGTCTTCACACAGCTTCGTTTGTGAACCACCGGAGGGTCGCTGCTAAAGCTGAGAGGCTGTGTGGTGTTCATTGCCTTCCTATAAACTGTCGTTTTAAATTAATCGTTAGGGTTTCGTACGACAAGCACATCCAGGAAGGGCAGCTGCTGTTGCTGTTCTTCTTCCCTCTCGAATTTTATATCAGGGAAGACTGCATTGAGCAGGCCGTGGAAATGTTGCAGCACGTCCTTCTTTACGATGACAAACGTGTCGTCTACGTAAGGGCGCCAAAATACCGGCTCATTTAGGAGGAAGGCAATTTTTTCTATCTCCTATAGGACCAGTTCCGCCACTGAACTGGAGACCGGTGAGCCCATTGGAGTTCCCTTGATTTGTTCATATGTCTCTCCAGCAAAAGTGAAGAAAGTTTGTCGGCAGAATTCAAACAGCCTCATGAGGCGTTCAATTTTGAGTGCATTCTGAGTCTCGTCGTACGCCTCTTCCAGTCTCTTGCGCAAAACTTCACGGGCCAAGTTTGGTGGAATGGACGTAAATAACGACGTCTCGTCGAAGGAGACCATGATTTCATCCGATTGAATCCTCCGACCTCGGAGGTCTATGAGGAATTGAGGGACTGATCGAACTGAGGTAGTCGAATTGCCTTGGAGGTATGCCTGGAAGTATGCTCGTTGCACACAAGTGAGGGAGTAGGTAGGGGTCGTTAGTAGCAATCAAGTCGGGCAATGCTTGTCAGTGAGGTAGTGAGCATGCCCACGAATTCATCAACACTGGAGTATAATGGCATGCCCGTTGCCGCTTCAGTCTGCTCCACTTGGAATCCGTGTCATCCCCCTATTTGTGTTGGGGTATAGCATCACGGCCAGTGTACGTTGTGGACAGGGGGTGTGGTGGTCCGCTCAGGTGCGGGTTTTCGCTGTGTTAACCACCTGTGACCTCTTTCGCCACTTGTCTTGGCTCTATCATGACACGGGGTCCAGATGGGGGAGGAAGCAAGACTGCGGTAGATGTTGCGCAAGTCACCGTTCCCGATCCCACATTGTGAACATCGTCGGAATTGACGGTCAAGCTGTCGCTTAAGCACGTTGGACTCGATGAGTTAAGTGCCATTTAGGCATTTTACGGACAGCGTAATGTCCTTTGACTTATGGAACATTTTCAAGAAAACCCATGACAAGGCAATGGGAACTAAAATAATGGCTTCTGGCTTACTAGACGTCGTCGGTCAGTGCTGATTAGCATCGACGCAATCGGACTCTTTCGCACGGATCTTGATTCCAACTTCATGAGCCTAAGTATTCCAGTCATTTGCGTCTCAGCCGTCCGCATGTCTCTTTTTCAGTCATCTCCTTGAATCATACAAACGATACGTCAGCGCTTTTTCTTTCAGCTTCCTCCTTGCACCCATGTCTATCTTGTGCGCTCGTTGCTTTTTGGCCGGTTCTGACACTTGAATGCCATTTGCCTTGTCTTCGATCTCCATCTCCACTTGTGTTATCGTTTGCAAGGGAGAGGATTTTGTCCGAAATCTGCGTGCGGTCACCTTCTTTCTCCGCGACATCCTCCTACACCTGCGTAACACCGCCGCACCCGGAGATCACGGGTCCAATTGCAGGGTTCTGGTGAGTTGTCATCTACCGGCCGCCAGTACCGCTGCTCGGTCAAGCATCGTATCTCTACCCCATGGTCTCGCACAGACCTGCATCCTTCAGTCCGAGGGTAAGAGATAACATCTGGCCATCATCCAGCCTCTTGGGCGTTAACTTCGCCAGTTTTTTTTCTATTGCACTCCACTCCGACCACACACACCACCCAACTGTCACCTGTTGTTCCTGGAATCTGTGCTGACGATTGAAGTAACAATCGGGAGATGCTACCAAAATATCCGTTGTCTAGAAATAATACCTACTATATCTATTTGAGTAGGTTATAGCCCTACATATTTGTTGTTTCACCTGACCTGCAGTCCACATGCTGCCTCACTTAGATTATCAGTTGAGCTGCGATCGCTGTAGACCGAGCCATGGTTAATCAACTCCGACCACAGCCACCGCCCAACTGTCACCTGTGCTTCCTGGAATCTGTGCTTGCGATTGATGAGCGAGTTTGGGTGAAATTAGCTCGCCTGTGTCCCAACTCCAGCGAAGTTGTGTGCGGAGCTGTGTTATGGTGCGCGTCGATGGGAACTTTTGTACCAGTCCACTACCTCTACCCTCAAGTTCATCTTCAGTTACCTTGACCGCGTTTTGGCTTTGGAGCACGATGGACGCGGCTGTTAAAGCCCTCCTCACTGACAGTTTGGCCGTCGAAAACGACACAGTTCATCGTGTGTTCCTCAGCATGGCGGGCGCAGGGACAGTAGCTTGCACGTGAATTAGTTTACAGTGGAAGTGGGCTTGCGTAGTATCTGGCGTACACTCATCCACCTGAGTCTAGCGTCAAGAAGACCAGAGGCGGGATCGAGCGCTGTGACCGACCAGGCTAAACAGCCCTTCTGTGCGTGCCAACCACACCCGGTCCGCGCCAGAATGACTCGGCTAGGGTCCCAAATTTAGTGGGAGGACCATAGAGACCGTACTAAGAGGAACCCTTTGCCGTCTGGCCCTCCATTTTGAAAGAGCGGCTGAGTTATCCCTTCAGTAGGCTGCTTTCAACTCCACGACTTTTATTGCACCGCAACAGTTAAAGAGCGCGTAAAACCGTTCATAGTGAGTAATATGCACTGAGTGCCGTGGGTACAGAGTCCCCAGAGTCGATTCCACTCTCTCTTTCTTTACCCAGACACCAGTCCACTGTCCGACCCGGTCGGTCGTCTAATGTATGGCGCAGTTAGCTAACAGAACTGGACAGCCTGTCTGCGCTTGCCACACTCGACCGGAGCCTTGCACAACACACCAGGTTCCCACACAAAGGAGATGAGCGGTTTTGGTATCACATGCGTGAGAACCTCTTGGGGGGGGGGTCATGCTAGAAAGGAGCCCTTGGACCTGACTGCTCAATCGGGATGGTGATGGCCACTGCCTTGTTTCACCGACAAGCATGTCCATTAACTGGAAAATTTCTACTAAAGGTTTGCTTCCGAGGGTTCATGCAACTGCTGCCCTCCACACCGACTCGAGTCCTTCCGTGTAGTTTGCTGAAAAGCAGTCAAATTTACACCCTGTTCCGGGTATCCTTCTGTTCGTTTTTACATGTCTGCGTCTGACAACATGAATAAGGCGGGGAAAAGGAGTGTATGCTGCCTCCACTTCCACGTGCAAACCCCTTATTCTCATTATTAACTAGGGGTGTAGAAGGGAGTGGGGGAGAGTGAGGTCTTCGCTTTGTGACGTATTTCGTCATCTAGACGAATCTAATGCACAGGCTGTTTGCTCTCTAGGTAGATCGTACACATACCATTTCTGGTCCTTACCGCCACTAGGATGCTGTTGTTTGCCGCACTCAGTAAATAAAAGCCACCTTGTATGAGGGTAACCCTTCGCACTTGATAAGCACAGTTTTTAGGTAAGGCCGTATGCAAAATTCTCAACAACTGTTCAGGCCGAACGAGAAGCTTATCAGCGGATAATGACCATGCCACTGACTACTGCGTATGAGGACCTGTCTGTCGAGCAACGGTTTCGCCGTCGTTGTCGACGATCGGCTGGCGCCCCTCTACTCCTGTCGACGATGTCCACAGTGGGCTCCACAGCACAGTGAGAGCAGGGACGGCGACTTGCGCGTTAATTAGCTTCTAGTGGTGGAAGGCTTGCACAGCATCTACCGCACCCCCTCCTCATCCCTCATCTGGGCCCGGTGTCATGAGGTAGTCGAGAAGACCGGAGGCGAGAGCGGCCGTAGGTCGTTGGTACGGCGTAAACCCGCTCCTAAGCGCACCACCACATCTCCTGGTCCACAGCGAACACTTGACCAGGATTTTCAACAACAACAAATACGGGGGGAGGGGGTGGGGGGGCGGGGCGCCAGGGCTCCCAATTGACGCTGCGTGAGCCAGCAACTGGTCCTGCCACCGCATCCCGAATACTGGCATTTATTGTGGGTGCGCATTCCCGATAACGCCTGCCAGAATCCGATATAGCTCCTGTGTAGGTCCAGCGCATCTACCGCGTGGTCCTTTTTGAGGGACCGAACACCACTGGCTACGAAGTAGCATATAAATATACAGAGCAGCCACTTCACCAGATTCACAACACCGGTGGTTGCCGGAAACGCATTCTACTCTCTCTCTCTCTCTCCCTCTCCCTCTCCCTCTCCCTCTCCCTCTCTCCCTCTCACCACCCCCTCAATGCTCTTCATGCAAAGACAGATCGGTGGAGGGCAAAGATTAATAGTAAAACGTGTGCAAAGAGAATTGACTTTTTGTCTTTTTGTGCCACTCAAGAGGAGATAAGGTTGCGATTCGCCAAACACCACTATATTCAAAACCTTAGTAGAGAGCGTAGGAAGTCATCGGCAGAACTGTGACATACAAGTGAATGAGCGCATTGACATGCCAGGAGCGTCTTCTGCTACAGAGGAAAGTCAGACCGTCAGGAAGAGAAGTTTACCAATCTGCGCTTTTGAACTTGTTCTCGGCCGACACACGAGAAGTAACAAAATAAAATCAAGCGGGTAAATTGGCCAATCTTTTTCGCCTCGTGCCCGTGAACGATTGCATCGACCTGGGGTGGCGCTTAACAATTATGGGACGCCTACTAGAAGGCACTGAATATTACGCACCTATTAATCGAGTTCCGACCTGCTTTTCCTGTCTCGAGCATTGTTCTGCACTCGGCTCGTTCGATTGCCGATATGGCGAGAAAGCTGCAGGTGGGATTTTGTCCTAGGTTGTCTACAGTCTTGCGAAATACTAGGACACCTCCTACGGCCATTTTGAGTTCGCTCAACGTGGTGGTTTTGATTTGGACGTGTGAGCCTCCAAGTAGATATTTCGAAATTTGTTCATATTTACCCAACTGTGAAAAACTCGTCGCCTCGGTGGGATTCGAACCCACAAAGCGTGTTGGTTTTAGTATAGTAGTTAGTATGTGTGTCCCTCCCCCCCAACAATGACCCCCACGGGGTTTACGCCGAATCAACAACGGGGATCAGATCAGGGTCCGGCACGCGTTGTTGAACTCCACACCCATGACCAATGCCATTTATTGGGTTGGGGGAGGGGAGAGGGGGGAGGGGGTGGGTGGCACGCCATGACTCGGACTGTCACCGCACTAGGCGCCTACGCCCGTATCAGCTTCCTTGACTGTGTCTTAGCATCGGGCCCCGGAGAATGAAGGAGTAAAGTGCGGGAGCTACAACCCGAGTGTACTATCAGCATAATTTAAGCGCTAGTCACCTCCCCTGGGGCACATACAATGGGCATCGTCGGTCGAACTGTCCTCGTACACCAATCTTTGCGCCTACCCACCCTCATAAATTGGAGGATACGCACTCCCAAATTCAGACAAAATTCTTCGCACTAAGCACGTTTGCTGGATGCGCTCCGAGTAAGTATTGTTAAATAGTCATGTGTTAATCCTCAGCTTCAATTTGCGGGGTGAGGTTGACTTGTCCCGGCGCTTTGGTTAAAATATAATTTTATTGCTACTTAGAACTGTTAGGTAGGTCGTAAAATGTACAGATTTTGCACTGACGCGTTGGTTTGGGTTGGTTTGCGTCTACGCTGGCCCTGCGCGGTGGGCATCCCTATACGACCTTGGTCGGGGTGATTGGTGTCTGGGTTGACCTTGGATGGTTGGGCATTTTAGAAAAGAAGCCCTGCCACAAGGCGTAGCTTAATAAACAAGGGTTTATCTTTATGCATGTGGTCACCGGATCGCTGTTCTCTCGGTGTTCGATCGATGATTCCTCTGATAGCGATCCCATAAATAGAAGGACGCGGGAGAACGACATAAAGTGAAAACAGGGTGGCAACATTCTTGACTCCAACATTTTTATGCAAAACGATGGCAGTCAATGAGGAGAAGGCTGCGGGCTATTGTCAAAGAGCAGGCCACCAACGTGTTCGATGAACGCCTTCCAGGCCTGCTAGACTGTGCTGACCTTCAGGTCTCGCCATACGCTGTATCGCAGTGTGATCATATGCACCCACAGAGAGTCCTGTCCATGTGGGACTACCCTCGTGCCTTCATCAGATTTTGCCAACAGAGGGCAAACAGGAGAGACTCATCACAATGCATCCCCCTGCCATATTTCAGAAATGTACAGTGAGTGACCGATCACCTGAAAGGTTGGCTGAAATTCTGAAATGTGTTCTCGATTAGGAAGGATTACTTAGGCGCGGTTGTAATGCTGATTATCCTGCGGCATAGTCCTATAATATTCGGACCCGGCAGGGTGTGAGCTTTTAAATACACTGCTTTTCAATCTCCTGTAGAAACCGTACTCGGTGAAAGATGACTACTTAAGTAGCAGGCATTTTTCCCATTGATTCTCCATGGTCTTGTAAATTTTAATATATTTTATAGAAAACACAAACAAAAATGTGCTTTTTTCAGTTGTTCGATAGAGAATCACGTCATCTTTATATTTTATACGCGAAAAAGGAGTATAATTAGGTTTTAAAAAGGTTTCTAATTATGAGATTTTTTAAGACAGTAAGATGTCCACTCATATAACATCGTACCTGTATTTTTACCACTGTCCTCATGAAATGTACAACACTGTCCATTTCAAAATTCTGTGGACCCTGTATGATATCTTTTTAAAGACGCAGAAGAATATGTGATTTTGTTTACGCGGGACGCATGCACCTTGTAGACTGAAATCACTAAGCGCTAATGCAACGAATGATCAGGCTCCAAATTATTTGGCAATTAGAAAACTTTCTTAAAGCCTTATTATCCTCCTTTGAGTATAAGATACAGAGATGATGTGATTCTCTATCAAACGACTGAAAGGAAGCATATTTTTGTTCGTGGTTTCTATATGTGTTTGAATTTGCAAGACCATTAAAAATAAATGTGAAAAATGCATGCCACTTCAGTAGTCACTTTTCACCGAGTACGGTTTCTACAGGAAACTGAAGGGCGGTGCATCCGAAAGCTGACATATTGCTAAGTCCGAAATATTATAGGACTATGCCGCATGATAATCAGCATCACAACCGCTCCTAAGTAATCATTCCTAATCGAGAACGCATTTCAGAATTTCGGCCAGTATTTCATGAGATCGGTTACTCACTGTATCCGAAATGACCGAGTCCATTTCCACAGACCTTCCTGTGGGTATGTCCCGCCGGCTAGAGGCTATCAAATGCCATGAATACCGAGTGTCAACCGGACACCGGTGAGTGTCATGTCGGATCCTTGCACCGAAGTCAACCCTACAACTGTACAGCTCAGACCGCAAGAAGTTTCGGCTGTCGGCACATGTGAGCGCAAGCTGCCTGTAGGGAGGAGTTATGCAGCGTTACAAGTTGCCGTCTGGACTCAGAACCAACCACTGCTAATGACGCCGATCTACAACAGGAAAGTACGGGAGTCACTTTAGATCCAATCCCACCAGCCTCCCCTGCGAATCACGCTCTTGCTGCCGTGTGGGGTGTTCCCATTCGAAGCCAAGCAGGCTAGGACTGCTATGCTCTCTTCAATTCGCAGTGCACGCATGTACTCTTACCTTGTTAGCGCTCCAGAGGGGCTTGTTCAATAACATTTAGAGGTGAAACCAGCTCTCGCGGTTCTCTCCGCCTGGCTTTTGCTGTCGGCATCATGCCTCTAGCGGCCGGCTCCTGCTGTCGGAGGCTTTGACACTGTGCTGTTTCACAAAAAGTGTCGGATGATTCGTCCGTTTATTGGCTAATATGATTCCGACCTTGACATGGTACTTCGGACGCCTTCAGGCGCGTCTGACGATGTCTTAGGTCTAAGGCTGCTCTCTCTCTCTCACCACGGCACTGAGACAGCTGAGGCCGCTGCGAAGGTTGACAAATCGACTTGCTCTCACAGTTTTTGAACAAAGCAGTCCATATACGCTGTGTAAATTCGGCATTTGACGATCGCACAGTTGGGACGGGAACAAGGAAACCCTGGTGGTGGAAGAGGAGGAGGTTCGGCCACCGGGCGTTTTGAACGCACAGGGAAACGGAGTGCCGACTGCATGTCGAATTTCCGCCCACATGTCAACTTACGCTATAACGTAGAATAAAGAGGGAACGGCAAAGTAACAAAAAGGGCTCGTCAGACGCCCCCACTGATGTCGGGCCAGACAATGACCATGGACTGGCTGAGTTCTGCTGAAGTTTTACTCAGGGATGGTGGGCCCAAGCTGAAATATCTTTCTGTTGACCGAACTTACTTATTTTCCGTATCAAATTCTGAGGTATGAGCCCCCCAATTCCGTCCGAGAAGAACCTTGGTCTACGTTGTTTTGCCCTGGAGCCACAAGCCGTAGGACCGAATCCCCGCGTCGACCACAGAGGGGGTTTAATGATAAAGAGCTAGTGCTAAACTAGGACTTGAGGGATTCTGACAGAAACACCATGCGGCACATTTTTCTTATTACTTCTTAGTCTTTACAGACCTCACCCCCTTCCCCATCCGTCTAATCAATATTGGATTATTCAGTGAACTAACAAAGGGGATCTGTGATTAATCTTCCCTGGTTAAAATTTTCGTGTTTCCGTCCCAGAGCCGTTTTAAACGCTAACAGCTGACAACGTATCCTGAATTCCAAGCCACGCATTAAAACTGTCTGGAAGAGTGCCCGAAGTAAACGACTGCCCTGACCGTCTTATTCACATCAGGGATTCCGGTTGTGCTTCAATTATTATTTTCCCTTAACATTCCGCCGAGGGATAATCGTCTATCAAACCGTTAAATAGGTTTTTATCGGGTATAAGCCACTGACCGAATGTGCAATCAGAATGCCTCCCTGGGGAAGGTTCATTGAACCTGTCGCTGAGTCATTTGCTCAAGCGAACTTTCAAAGTACATGCTTCTGTTCATCCACAAAAGTCCCAAAAGTCCAATCGCTACGCCGTATTCGTCATTTTGACTGACTGTTTTTAAGATTGTTCATTCTTTTTTTACCCCGAACTAATGTGCATGCGTGCGTACACATTTGTCAACCGTTATCCGCCCCCATCCCTGCCTCCCACATCGCCTCTCAGTTATCTCAAAGCTCTTCTGCGTGCCTGTCATCGTTTGTTGATGAATCCAGGAGGCACAAGTACTTTCACACACACACCCCGCACACGTTAGTCCCCTTCTAGTCCTTGTCTCCCACCCTCTGGCACGAAGTGTGCTGTAACCATGCTGGCGCTGCCGAAATTCCTCGCACAAACGTCCACCATCCTACTCATCGCCGGCCCGACGCAGTAATTACCGAATTGTCTTTGCGTGTATGATCCGCCCAGCATTTGTTCAGTTGGTTTGTTGACGTCTGTGCCGGAAGTCTTTTGGGTGATTACAAATCCCTACAAGCGAAGCGCTCGTTGAGGCCCGCCTGTTAGGAGACTGTCATATTAACTCGGGGGCTGTTTTCGGAAGAAATTGTCCTCGTCTGTATGTGTCACGTGTTGTTTTTTACTCGACTGCATGTATTTCCCGTCCAGTTCCTGGAACCATAGGGCATCTAAGATAGCAAGCGTGAAGTTCTAAGTGAAACGTTAGTCGGAACTGTAGAAAGTAAATACTTAATTATGACAGTGGGCGCTCACCGATCAGGTTACGGAACATGCTCCTTCTGTTGTGTCTTGTGGCTCATACTAGAACCCTCGCAGGTCGTCGCACAGCGAAAATGTCTAAAGTAAATACTTCATATTGACCCAACTGTGAAAAACTCGGCGCCTCGGTGGGATTCAAACCCACGGAGTAAGGGAAAGGCTTTAGTACAGCCAACGCTCTAACCACTTGAGCTACGAGGCCCCGCCGCCAAAAGCTGCCAAAACATCTATGAATTACGCGAGCCTGGTAGTCATCTGGTGGATTCTAGGTGAATTACTTAGTAAATCCTGCTTGGGCAGTCAACTTACTGTATCAGATTTGGTGGATTCCAGAAGTTGCAGTAGGTTGGGCGGGTAACTTGACCCAAATGTGATTAAACTCGCGTCGTCCGACGGGGCCTCGTAGCTCAAGTGGTTAGAGCGTTGGCTGTACTAAAGCCCTCCCCTTACTGCGTGGGTTCGAGTCCCACCGAGGCGCCGAGTTTTTCACAGTTGGGTCAATATGAATTATTCAAAATCTGCCAAAACATCTATGAAAGTAAATACGTAAAGTGCTCCTTTGAGGCCTTAGATCATTGGGCGGTTCCCAAGAGGGTGGGGTGGCGTAATTACTGTGATTAATTGAAAGTTGTATCAAATGCCATGCGCTACATGAGGCGGTCACTCCACACTGACCTCACGCCGCCGTCATCTGCGTCTCCACGATGTCGGCCGGATTTCAGCGACCGCATTCCAATTGACTGGCGAGACCATATACCAGTAACTGCTGCCTCTCCAACGCCGGTAAAATTCCGCTAAAAGTCCGTTGCATTTAGAGAAGGGGACGCTACGACGACGTCTACCGCGTTCCCCAAATTGTGGGTGACGAAACTTACGAATGATTGGGAAATCGCTTGCAGACCGGCAAAAACGAATGGACCAAAGCTTTGGAGTAATAATTCACAGCTTTAAGCGAATTGAAAATATAAAAGAATACATAAAATTAATATAGCGTTTTTTTCAGAAATATCAACTTTTAGAAAAGCGGGAAATTCCGAAAATCGTTGTGACTGAGTAAAGTTAGGCTTTGAGTGTGCAGAATAACCTTCCATGCGAGAAATTGATTGAATAGAACAGCACACGTAGAATAACTTCAAAAAAGAATCTTTTAGTGAAGCCTTTATTTAAATATCCTTCACGAATAGGTGTAGTGTCAAGTATGTCAGCCAACAGCCGGCAGTTTGAGCGTACAGTAGATGTGCTAACTCATGAAATGTCAACCAAAATTTCGAAATGCGTTCTCGTTTGGAAAAGATAAACTAAGTAGTGTTGCAAAACTAATCCCGATGCAGCGTAAATCTATAATGATACAGCTAGCTCAGGGTGTCGGCTTTCGAAAGAACTTATTTTAGGCTGCATGCAAGATCTATACTCTGCAAAAAATGACTACTTATGTAGTATGCAATTTTCTCATTGATTTTCGATGCTCTTAAAAATTCAATTATATTTCATGGAAAACATGCATAAAAATATTCATTATTTTACTTATTCGGTAGAAAATCACGTCTTCTTCCAATTTCATACTCAAAAGAACAGTATAATTCGGTTTTAAAAACTTTTCTAATTCCCGAATAATTTTGAACCCGACCTGCTGTTACACATGCATTCAGGGTTTCAAAACTACAAGCTGTATATTTTCCGTGTACTGAACACCATGCATTTCTCTACGGTGTTAAGACGAGACCATATGAGGTTCATAAAATTAAGCAGTGGATTTGAGCAATATTGTTAACTTTACAAGCCACATTCGTAAATGCAGATACATGACGTTTCATGAACGGCCATTTAGCGGTATTAAAAAACTGTAGAAACTTTTTTAAAACCGAATTATACTCTTCTTTTGAGTATGAAATTGGAAGAAGACGTAATTTTCTACCGAATGAGCAAAAGAAGGAATATTTTTATGCATTTCGAGGAAATATAATTGGACTTTTAAGGGCATCGAAAATCAATGGGAAAATTGCATACTACATAAGTAGTCATTTTTTGCAGAGTATAGATCTTGCATACAGTCAAAAATAAGTTCTTTCGAAAGCCGACACCCTGAGCTAACTGTATCATTATAGATTTATGCTGCATCAGGATTTGTTTTACAACACTACTTAATTTATCTTTTCCAAACGAGAACGCATTTCGAAATTTTGGTAGACATTTCATGAGTTAGCACATCTACTGTAGATCTCAACACGGTTCCACGAGAATTGGCCGTATTTTTTCCGATTTTACATTGAGATGTGGTTGACTAAGCCAAGTAGGCTTTTGTTGATTTCGCCGATGAGAACGTCAAAAGAATGAAACATTTTATGAGGCCACATGCTGAGAGGCCGTTTATTGACTAATAAATCCACACTGAATTATCAGGTGCAATCGTAAACATACCACGTTGTGTATATTAAGAGATAACTTTCCTTTCGTCAAATCTCTTTGTAAATATTTATATTGCTGGAACACGATGACTTCCAGGTAATCCTCGAAGTCGATTGTCCGTAAATGTAGATTCTGCTCTGTGCTTTTCAAAACCTCCGAAACAAGGTACTTCTTGAAAGTATTTATCGAAGTAGTGAGTTCTGGGACAGTTCTAACAACTAACAAGTTACCTCTCTGGAAGTACGTTACCAAAGTTAAGGTGAAAATTGGGACAGTTGATCAACTTTTTCATTTCCCTGAAAATTAGCGGTAATTTTTCCGCTACAAATAAAAGAAGTCATTTGTCTCTTTCTATATTGGGGTGTCTTTCACTATACTTCTTTACTTTTAGATTTAGTTCGTAGATTGTGGGTGCACAATAGAGTGGCCGTATAAATATTAATGTATTGCGGAAACGTCTAATCTGCTTTCCGTTCCGTTCCTAAATTACGAATTAGCGGACTGCCACTATACTGTGTTATACTGTATGCTTAAAAGTTGACTTAGCTACTTTGTGGTGTGTACTTTCGCAGTATGTTATTTACCATTCACAAATGGCAGAAAAATGTCGGAAAGTTTAAGCAGCGGATTGTCTGTTGGCGCTATAACTGCGTTTTAGCCTATGGAATCACGCAGATGTGCAAATCGGACTTTTTAAAGTCGATAAACTGTCTGGTTTTCTAAGCATGACCTTCTTGCTTTCACCTTACTTTATCCGATTTACTGACTACATCAATTTTCAAATGGGACTGGTTCCGTTTGCCAAAACTCGAGATTACTCTCTTAGCAAGGTACGCACGAAGGCGAGACCTTAATTTAAAACAGGTATTATATAGGAAACTGCTCGAATACACGGCAATGTAGATTTACGCTCAAAGTTGTAAACATTTTGGCTAGTAAAATTATTTGTTAACATATCCAGCATTAAGACCACCCTTCGAGTGAAGTTCACCGACTTCGTCTCAAATGAGACAGTCCGCGCTCGCTGCGACAACATCGCAAGGATAACCCACGCCATCCAAAAAATACGATTGAGGTGGTTTGGGCACGTTCTTCGCCGTCCACCTCAGGAGCTCAGTGTTACTGCCCTCGATCCGGCACTATTGTCCCACTAGAGGCGGTCAGTTCAAAACCTGGCTCGACACAGTTCGCCAAGACATGGAGGTGGTTCTTGGACCTTCGGTATTCGCTCTCCGTCGTTGGCGAAGGGAATGGGTTGAGCTGTCTAGATCTGCTGCCGCGGATCGTCACGCGTGGAGAGATACAGTTGGGGACATCATCGAGGCCGGGTAGATCAGGCATGATCACAGCCGTATCAAGTACAAGTATGTAAGAAAAACATTTTCCAGTATCGGTTAGGCGAATAAATAAAGTGTGCAGCGTTTCAGTCGCCCACAATTGACCGTTCCAATTTCCGCCATCACGTTTCGTGAGTTTGGTCGCATGCTGTGGTTTATAGGAAGGCAGACTTGCGCCGAATCCACCGCACTCTCTTCCCTCACCCATCTTACTCCGGTGGCATGACAGTGTCAAAACGAACGGAGGCGAGTGCAAGCACGATGGCTGGCGAGATTAAGCAACCCGTCTGCGCGTGCCACACACGACCTGGCTTCCACGACACGCACCAGGCCTTCATAGGGGCAGCTCGCATCCCATCCGAGTGGGTGTGCCATAGAAGTCATAATGAATTCGAGCGCGTCAGACTTTTTGTAGTGAGGAGTGCGCGGATGGATTCTCCAGTATCGACGTACCTCTCCCATGGACGATCAGTCGACCGCCACGCTCGCACGTATCTCAAGGCGTATTTACTTTATTTTATAATTTGGTCGATTCCACCCAAGTCTGCGCTTATCATACTCACATTTATGCACAAGCCAGCACCATCCCCCTCGGGTAGTGCTGGTTGTCGTATTCTACACTCAGGACACGAACAAAGCTGAAACGACGTTCAAAACAGGCTCCCTTCTTTCGGCGGGTGCGGTCATCGATTCCCTTTGCCAAGATCGAAATAAAACCTTCCCCCCGAAATTTATGCCTACATGGTTGATACTCGCTTTTGTTAGATAGACTACTGCATTGGATTATAATCCTCGGAGGTGATGCCTTCGGCAGTACGTTCGTATTATTCACACAGTCGTTTAACTGATGTTCAGCAATCTACCCCGGAAATGACACATTGAAACGGATCCTCATCTTACTTACCGTAGGTGGGCTAACTCATGAAATGCCAACCGAAATTCCGAAATGCGTTTTCATTGCGAAAAGATTAATTAAGTAGGGTTGTAAAACTAGTCAGCCCAGAACATAATTCTACAATATTTCAGTTACCTCAGAATGTCGGCCTTCGAATGAACTTCTTTCCCGCAGCAGGCAAAACCGTTTTCATTGCAAGAAGATTGTTTAAGTAGGGTTGTAAAACTAGTCGATTTGCAGCATGATTCTATAATCAGTTACTCCAGGGTGCCGGCTTTCGAATGAACTTCATTGCGGCTGCACGCAGAAACTACACTGTGAAAAATGACTACTTAATTTGCATGCATTTTTCTCATTGATTTCGATGCCCTTAAAAGTGCAATTATATTTCCTCAAAAACATGCATAAAATATTCATTCTTTTGCTCATTCGGTAGAAAATTACGTCTGCTTTCAGATTTATACTTGAAGAAAGGGTAGTATTCGGTTTTCAAAAACTTTTCCAATTCCCGAATAATTTTGATCCCGGCCTGCCCATCACACTTGGCTTCAGGGTTTCCAAACTACAAACCATATATTCTCCGCTTATGGAAGGCCACAGGTGATTTCTCTACGGCATTAAGAGGAGACCATATAGGATTCATAAAATTTAGCAGTGGATTTGGTTCATCGGTAGATGCAGAGACATGATGTTTTATGAACGGCCATTTCACGGCATTAAAAAGTCCCACAATTAGAACCATTTTTAAAACCGAATTATACCCTTCCTTCGAGTATAAAACTGAAAGAAGACGTAATTTTCCACCGAATGAGCATAAGAATGAATATTTTTATGCATTTCGAGGAAATATAATTAGACTTTTAAGGGCATCGAAAATCAATGAGAAAAATGCATACTACATAGGTAGTCATTTTTTACAGAGTGTATTTTTTGGATGCAGCCGGAAGGAAGTTCCTCCGAAGGCCGGCATCCTGCGGTAACTGAATTATTATAGAATTATACTGTAGGCTGATTAGTTTTATAACCCTACTTAATTAATGTTTTCGAAACGAAAACACATTTCGGAATTTCGGTTGATATTTCATGAGCTAGCCTCCATACTGTATTTGTTTACTGGCAGCGTACGCTGTAAAACCGTAGAAAAAGAAGACGTGGTCACTTTCTACGGAAAGCAATGGGAATTTACTCCCATTGGCACGGTACAATGCTTAATCATAATGACGTGTTGCTGTATGGGTAGGGTTCAACGCTCAAACGATTCGGGACTCAGTTGTAAATGCACAGTTCAGAATTACGCGCGTTACTAGGAGGTGACATTACTAGGGCTTAGTTCTGCTGTTACCGTTCTCTCAGGTATTATGAACAGTATTCAAGAATGGGCTTGGTTGCTGCGTTCGCAGGACGCGGTGCGACCGGGCGTTAATTTTACGGGAGTGGAGGTGGGGAGTGATTATACTTCAGTCCAACCCTTTTCTCGCAGAAGTTCATGTTGTTCGGCCCACATGTTTGCCTAGTGGCCGAAGCAGTCTCCGAGTCTCCCTGAATTAGATAGGCTTAAAAACCAGCATCTTTTCAGACGTCGCAGGGAGGTTCTTCGCAGTTGTGGCCTGCAACCACAAAAGGGCCGGTGAGGTGCGCATCTAGGCTGGGAATTGCGGTTGTGAACACTTCTAGGGTGGTTTTCACAGCTTTTGCTCGCCGGGCCTCCGGGTGTGCAACCAAACTCTCGCGAACGTGAAGTCCCAACTAGGCCAACCGCGCCCCATCCCCCAGCGTCTGGCTAAACGAGGAACGCAGCGCAGTCACACCCAGCGCATGCCGGCACCGTTGAGACTCTTTTCGGCCATGCGCATCTATGGAAGAAGAGCCGCCGCGTGTGTCCCAGAATCGTACCGACTTTGAAATTTTAGCACTTGCGTCTGCTTCGATCCCGAAGCGTGTTCTTTTACGCGAGTCGTAGCAGCATGTGCACACAACCGATTAGCGTGGCCGTGTGTGTGTGTGGCACGCGTAGACGAACCTCTGCGCCCGCACCCACACTTGGTCGTCTTGACATCGTGTTGCCATCTGGCGGGGGTGGGTGGGTGGACAAGGAGGGAGGAGAGAGTGCGGTAGGCGCTGCGCAAATCTGCCTCACCCATGAACTAATTCACGCGCGAATCACGGTGCTGCACTCACTCCGTGGGGCCCCCAATGGACGTCGTCGTTCGCGACTGTCGAACTGACAGTATGGTCGACCAGGTGACTGTATGTACACGACACTGACTAGCGTAGCTGTGTCAGGTCGTGTGTGGCACGCGTAGACGGACCGCTTAGTTTTGTTGGCCGCTGCGCCCGCACCCACCTTCGGTCGTCTTGACATTGTATTACCACCGGGGCAAGGTGGATGAGGGGGGGAGAGAGTGTGGGAGATGACGCGTTGGCCAACCTTACTATAAACTACACTGTGTGACCGATCTCACCAAATGTTGGCCGAACTTCTGGAATGCGTTTTCGATTAGGAAGGATTACTTAGGTGGGGCTGTAATAATGATAAGTATGCAGCATAAGCCTATAGCATTCCGGACTCACTAGGATGTCGGCTTTTGGATGCACTCCTTTTTGACCTCGTGCAGAAACCGCACTTTGTAAAAATGACTACTTAAGTAGCATGCATTTTTCCTATTGATTTTCGATGGTCTTATAAATTTAAATATATTTTATAGAAAACATGCACAAAATATGCCTTCTTTTACTCCTTTGGTAGAAAATCACATTGTCTTGGGGGTTGATACCTGTAGAAAGTGGATATTTGGGTTTTAAAAAGTTTTTAACTATGAGATTTTTAAGACCGTGAGCTGTCCATGCATACAGGACCGCACATGTCCGTTTACCAATGCTCCTAATGAAATGCGCAACACAGTCCGGATCCATTGCGAAGTTTTAGGAACTCTATTTGTTACCTTCTTAAAGGCATGGAGAAATATATGATTTTCCTTACGCGGAAAGCGTGCACCTTGGAGACTGAAATCGCCAAACGCTAATACAATAACAGATCAGGCGCAAACTTATTCGGGAATTGGAAAACCTTTTTTAAATCTCAAATATGCACTTTTTCGGGTACAAAATATCAACGCAATGTGATTTTCTACCAAAGGAGTAAGAGAGAGCATATTATTGTGCATGTTTTCCAGAAAATATATTTGAATTTAAAAAACCATCGAAAATCAGTAGGAAAAATACATGCTACTTAAGTAGTCAGTTTTTGCCAAGTGTGGTTTCTGCAAGGGGAGCGAAAAGAAGGTAACTCAAAAGCCGACATCCTAGCGAGTCTGAAATACTATAGGATTTGGCCTCATGATGATCAATATTGCAACCCCACCTAAGTAATCCTTCCTAATCGAAAACGCATTTCAGAATTTGGGCCAACATTTTATGAGATCGGTCACGCACTGTAATTGATGCGTAAGTCACCTGCGCCGCGCATGGTGGTGGGCGTCTTCGCTTGTGTCGGTTGTTACTTGGGAAGGCAGTTATGACATAACTACGCGTCGTTCAAGTATGGGAACGAGAATTCGTGGAGAGCCCTTTTGATGTAGGGGTTGGCCTTTTCGTGGCCATTTTACTTGGATTGAGTGGGCCAAACACGAGGCGATTTAAATGCCCCACCCCACCTGGCCTGGAATCGGTCAGCACAGGCAAAATTTATTGGCAAGGGGAGGGGACCGAATAACGCCCACACATGCTGCGCCCTGTGTCACGCCGACGCCAGTGTTGCCGAACGTTGTCAAAATATGTAGCTGCTGATGGTGTTTCTTGCCTACTATGTATGGTTCCATACTGTAGCTAATCTGCCGCACCTGACTCTGTGCGCTAAATGTCACGGTTCGGGAGACTGCCAGTTGACGAAATAACCTGAATCGAGAGCCAGATTGCGATGGCTCCATCCTCACATACGGCTTTTGTGGCTTTTAGACGCTACGTGTGCTCCCCAAACGGGCCACGTGGTAGATGCGCTGGACCAACACGGAGGTCATATCGGATTCTGGCCGACGTTATTGGATTTGCGCACCATAACAAATGCCGACGTTTGAGGGGGTGCGGTGGCAGACCCGGTTGCCGGCAGACGTCGCGCACACTCGGGCCCCTGCCGTCCTCCCATTGTTGTTGTTGTTGGTCAAAATCTGGTCATTTTTTGTGTTAACCTGGGAGTGTAGAGTGTAGCACCAAGGTGCGGGCTCGACCGCGCCATCAACCTGCGCTCTACACCGCCTCCGGTCTTCTTGACGCTGTCTTGATACCGGGTCCAGGTGGGGAGGAGGAGAGTGTGGTAGATGCTGCGAAAGTCTGCATCCACGATAACCTAAATCACGCGCAAGTCGCCGTTCCTGCTCTCACCGTTCTGCGGAGCACACGGTGGACATCGTCAGTACCGAAGGTCGAACTGCCGAGACGCTACGTTATGTCAGCCACTGTGCCCAATCACATTCCCACGAACAGTTTAATTCGAATAGGCCACAGCCTCTCATCCGGTTTTCATCAACTGGCTCAAACGAAAGCAACTTCTGAGGTGTCGTCTATTGAAACCGATGGGCTCTGTCTAAAGCACACCCGCCGGGTTCTAACAGGCGTCAACTCAATGATCTCTGGCTGTGGCGCGCGTAGACGGGCTATTTAACGTCGTCGGTCACTTTGTCTGCCCTAAACTCCGGTCGTCGTGGCACTCTCCCTTTCACTCGCATTCACCCTTTTAATTGGTATTTTTCAGGCATCTTGCTAAAAATGTGAGCGGATAATGTTGGCACAAGCCAAAGACGTTTAATCGGCATCAGTCTTCTATTCCGTAAAAAAACATATATACATGTGCAGTTAGTGACCTAACTCATGAAATGTGTCGAAATTTACGAATGATTGCCAATCACTCGCAAGCCGACACCATTTCATTAGTCCAATGTGCATGTTTATTAGGTAAAAGTTCAAAAGAATTAAAAAAAATATGAAAGAAATATTAAAGACAATGTTGCGTTGTTTAGAAATTCCGATTTATTTTGAAAAGTACAATATCCCGAAAACGTTAGAAGTGGCTCTAATTAAGTAAAGTCCGTTTTCAGATGTATAGAACATATTTTCATACAAAAACGCAGTTAATATGAAACTAGAAACAAAATAACACCCAATAATAGTGTTTCAGTGAAGGTTACACCTAAATGTCGTTTAATAATTAGTGTGATTTCATATATGACGGTTTGTCGACTGCCCACATTCTGAGCGTAGATTCCAAAACAGTTTTCCAGGGTCTCGTGTTATCCTTGACTCTTTTAAGTTAAATGAGATGGGGTTCAACAAGAGAAACTGGATTTTACTTGATTTCACCGATGGGGACGTCGTAGGAACAAAAGTTTTCATAAGGTGACATATCATGAGGCCGGTTGGTGCCTAAGAAATTTAAATAAAACCGACAGGCGTGATCGTAAACATACCATTTTGTGTTTACAGGGAGAACCTTTCTTCCGTTAAATTAATTGTTCACTTTTCGTCCGTTTTGGATTACGTTGAATTTCAGATCGGCCTCGAAATATTGGTGAATACTTCATGATTTTCAGTGTTTTCACTCGATCGTTCATAAAGACAAATTCTGAATTACGCGTCTGCTTAGAACTTTAAAATAAGCTTATTCTTGAAGGCATTTACCAGATTCGGGAGTGTTCGGACGCTGCTTTTCATGAAGATGGTTGTTTGGGTCACACGTTAGGACTCATTCAAACACCAAACTTCATTTTCGAGAAAAATTGCTATCTACAACGAGAGTCATCAAAGAATATGCCTTCGATCAGTTGGAAAATTTTCCTCAATAAATTACCTCCTTAAGAAGTGCTTTATTACTGCACTCCATTGACGGATTTCTGTGCAAAATGCATTTTTGCACGGTGAGGCCAAGTAAAAATTCGACACTTTTGGCCGTTTCTCTCACGTTCCTAAACAATACTGTTTTTCTACCTTAAACGTAAGAACATGCCTTTCTCTATACACTGAGGCCTTTTCCACTGTTTTTGCTCGCTTTTAGACTCCGTTCCTCGATTATAAATGCACGGCAGGGCGCCCATATAAATACTGATATTGTACTGAAAGGATTAATGTTTTGCTCGTTCTACTCCCGAAGAAGGTATGCACAGAAGCTAAACTACACGGCAGGTAGCGTCTCATATGTTCAGAACTGGAAATGACCATTCGGTTGTGGTCACTTATGTGACATCAGGTAGAATTTTCCAAACGGAAAACCCATTTCAGCCAATTTAAACGAAGGAATCCCTATCTGCGTTATCACTGCACTTTAGGGCACGAAATCACACAGATCTGCTAATTTGACATTTAGGAATGGAAAAAAAGTCTGGTTTTCTTATAATAACCGGAGTCTGGGGCATTTATTAGCACAGGAAATTGCACGAATATATTCCAATGTTCATTTTCGCTAAAACTTACTGATACTTTACTTGATATAATTACGTAAACACAATTTCTGCACAAGAAAAGGACATTTCATTGAAGGTTGTGGATGAGCGAACGAAATGCGCATTGTTAACGATGTCCAGAAATTCTCGTATCAGTTTCCGTTATCAGATTTCATGAGATAGGTCACGTACTGTATGTGGTGGCTACTTAAGTTATTGATTTAGGCCATATTTACAGTAGATGTGCTAACTCATGAAATGTCAACCAAAATTTCGAAATGCGTTCTCGTTTCGAAAAGATAAATTAAGTAGTGATGTAAAACTAATCATGATGCAGCATAAATCTATAATGATTCAGTTACCTCAGAGTGCATGCAAGATCTATACTCTGCAAAAAATGACTACTTAAGTAATATGCAATTTTCTCATTGATTTTTCGATGCCCTTGAAAATTTAATTATATTTCATGGAAAACGTACATAAGAATATTAATTCTTTTACTTGTTCGGTAGAAAATTACGTCTTCTTCCAATTTCATACTCAAAAGAAGAGTATAATTCGGTTTTAAAAAAGTTTATAATTGTGAGATTTTTAATACCGTTCAATGGCCGTTCACGAAACGTCATGTATCTGCATTTACGAATGTGGCTTGTAAAGTTAGCAATGTTACTCAAATCCACTGCTTAATTTTATGAACCTCATATGGTCTCCTCTTAACACCGTAGAGAAATGCATGGTTTTCCGTACACGGAAAATATAAAGCTTGTAGTTTTGAAACCCTGAATGCAAGTGTAACAGCAGGTCGGGTTCAAGATTATTCGGGAATTAGAAAAGTTTTTTAAAACCGAATTATACTCTTCTTTTGAGTATAAAATCGGAAGAAGACGTGATTTTCTACCGACTAAGTAAAAGAATGAATATTTTTATGCATGTTTTCCATGAAATATAATTGAATTTTCAAGGGTATCGAAAATCGATGAGAAAATTGCTTACTATATAAGTAGTCATTTTTTGCAGAGTATAGATCTTGCATGCAGGCGAAAATAAGTTCTTTCAAAAGCCGACACCCTTAGGTAACTGTATCATTATAGATTTATGCTGCATCGGGATTATTTTTGCAACACTACTTGATTTATCTTTTCAAAACGAGAACGCATTTCGAAATTTTGGTTGACATTTCATGAGTTAGCACATCTACTGTAGTTATTTTACAAAGTGTTTCTGCCCCCACTTGCGAAATTCTGTATATTATCCTAGACAAAAGAAATCGGTAAGAGTGTGACCACTCTACTCGACACGCCTCCCACCCGGCGTACTCATACAATTCACCGTCTTGGTATTGTCATTGGGCACTATGGCCTTGACTTGTATTTGCGACCTGTTGTTTTCTCTCCTTATTGAAATCTTTACTGCGGCATTTCAGTATACGCTCCGTTGCCGGTTGTGACCGTCCATAGAATGCCCGTCCAAGTTTGTTCTTTTACAGGCCAGAATACCACGTAATATCCTTACTGTTAGAGACCCATTCTCCATTGTGTACCCTCTTTGAACATTTTAGGTGATGGCGGAGGTTACAGATTGACTAGCCCCGACGGCAGGTTTGAGTTCAAGGTGCGTAGGAAAAACAATGAATTCTTCTTTACGGACTTCACAATGCGGACCTTTGAAAACCTCTTGGCAAAGCACTCCCTGTAGTGACCGACCATCTTGACTATTTTTCTATATAAGCGTGTTTATTTTGTCTACCCTTCTCAACGTAATCACCTTCAATGGCTCGAGAATAGAACACTATCTGCTATGGTCTTCGAATGATAGGTTTCAAGTCGAACTTCAAAGATCTCTAATTATCGATTGCGGGAAAAGGGTAAACGCCACAAGGGAGTTTTTCGCATCCCCCAACCGCCCATCGTTGGGGCTCCGTCTGGGGAGTTCGAAACCAGAGACTTACGGTTTTTTGTTGACTCCTGGCAGTATTCCTAAGAAAACAGAAACATTGTCTTAAATCACATTCCTGACTTTGTGAACGTCAAAGGCATGTCGAATATGACAGAATGGGTGTGTAGCATCGCCCTTCAGTTTTTGCCGTTTTGTCTGATTGTCGGTATAATTAGTATTTTTAATTGCAGTGATAAAGTTGTTCGCAGAGATCCTGCGAAATTGGTTCTTCTCGGAAGGAAGTCTCCGGATTTCTTTGTTGCTAAACTAACCTGATGGGATTGTCTTCTTACTTGCCCGGACGACCTCAGAATTTGACACGAAAATGTGGACTACCCTGATATGGCAGGTGGCCACGTACTAAACTCCAGGGGCTTTTCTATTTCCGGGTCCTCCTAACTTTAACCTTGACGACAGTTCGACCGTCGTTGCCAATGCTGCCCACCGTTCAGATTGGCAGGTTTGAGAGATCCGGGTTGAGTATTTGAAGATGGGCTAACCGGAACAGGTTTATTTAGATGCTGACGTTTCGAAAAGTTTGGTCGGCTCTCCATCGTTAAAGCGTAAAATGCACTTAATCGACCAAAAATTGCAAGTGGCGTGTCACGTTGGTCGGCCTCGTGCTGATCGATTTTTCTCTCCTCTCGCTGCCTCGGCCTCTCGGGGGATGGTTGACGGGCGTTTTGTCTGCGTGCGTTGTGGGTCACCACTCCGTCGGAGGGAGGTGATTGAGCCAGTGTCGGGTGGACGGTCTGGCGGTTCTTGTTCTCCTTCGCCGAGTAAGCTCGCCGTCGGGCTGTCTCCGTATGGCTTTCTTAAGCCCGGTGTGGTTGTTTGGTCCTCAATTTTACGATTGTGATGACGTAGGACTTTGTATGCTGCAGGAAGGTCCATATGCCTGTTGCTAGAGTGGGCATCGGAGGACCACGCCTCGGGAGTTAACCGTTCTGCTTTTTTGTTGCCCCGGCCTAAGATGGTAGACCTCTGGAGATCAAAAGTATGCCCAGTTTCTCCAACGTATGGTGCTAATTGAGAGTTTGGGTCTAACCTCCGAGTAGCTGATTTGTGCTCTTGTAGGCGAGTTAGCAATTTCCGCCCGGTTTCTCCCACATAATTGCAGTCGACCTCATTGCAATTTATTTTGTAGATAACTACTGAGGTTTCGGCGGGTAGCAATGGTCCTTAGGTTGCATCAGACGGCGTCGAGTTGTTGCCTGGGGTGGATGGACTATGCTTACTCCGGCGGGATCAATCAGCTCCCCCTCATAAACCCAACTCTAGCCCTAACCCGTGGGATTTACGGCAAGGTCACCTGCAGGACGGAGGGTCCATATTCCTGTGCCCAGAATTGTACACGAAAATGTGGACCACCCTGATATGGCAGGTGGCCACGTACTAAACTCCAGGGACTTTCCCATTACCGGGCCCTCCTAACTTTAACCTTGACGACAGTTCGACCGTCGTTGCCGGCGATGCCGACCGTGTGCTCCACAGCAGGGTGAGAGCAGGGACGGTGACTTACGCGTGAGCCAGATTATAGTGTTTGTGGACTTGCGCAGCATCTACCGCACTCTCCTCGGCAACGGTATAGAGAAGGACCCCACTTAACTGTCATTAGACTGTTTTATCTTGGCATACATTTGCAGGCTGTTGCGGAAATTACACTGCTAATAATGATTACTTCCCACGACCTCACACCCTAACTCAAAATTCGTTATTTTATGGAATTTACTTTTTGTTTATTGTTTAATTACTACTCTCGTTTCCGTTGTCATACAATAGTGTGGGATAAGACTTTCGGCATAAATCCAGGCAATTTCTGCGTTTTCTTTAATTTTGTCAACTTACTCTCTGGCGTACTGCCCTACCCATAAAACTACCGCAAATCACGTATGGCACGATCCACGGTCTACTGACAGTTAAGTGGGGTCCTTCTCCATACCGTTGTCCTCTCTACTCCGACCTAGCCGGTGTCATGACCATGTCAAGAGGACCGGAGGTGGGAGAGGGCGCAGTTGGCCGGCGCGACGAGAACTCGCATCTAGGCGTACCTTAATACTCCCTGGTCCCCAAAAAAACACTTGATTAGGGTTTTCAACAACAACTGATATAGGGAGAGGGCGCGGCAGGGATCCCAGTTGGCGCAAAGTGAGCCTGCCACCGCACCCCTAATGTCGGAATTTGTTATGTTCACGCATTCCCAATAACTCCCACTGAACCCCGACCTAGCCCCAGTGTTGGTCTGACGCATTTGGGGGTACTTACCCTAACACGAGCCCTCATAACCCAACCCTAACCCTCTTAACCCAAACCTTAACCCCGTGGGATTTACGGCAAAGTCACCTGCAGGACGGAAGGTCCATATTCTTGTGCCCAGCTGACCTCTGCGGCAATGGTACGGGAGGCGTCTCTCGGTTTGCTCCATTTACTTTCAGCTCCTGGTAACATCCCAGTCTGCCTTCAGCAAGGTTCAGTATTGCTGCATTTAACCTTCCCTGACGCCGTCTGTATGAGTAGATTTTCAGCCTCGACCCCAAGGTTGTCGATCCACCGTGCGGTATCGCGCATCGCATTGGTCACCGACACTATTAACTGACTCCCTTTCCCTCCCCAACTTCGGAGTAGGACATAGGTAATCAACTGCAATTGACGCCAGGGAGAGTGCATACACATGAAAGACTGATGAAAATATTACCAATAGGGCGATTGTGTTCGAGCAGATTTTCAGCGAACGAAGTCCGCAGCTGTTGCAATAATCTTTCCAGGTGACATTATTTCAGCCTATTCATGCACTGAACTAACCAGCAATCATTCCAATAGGGACCTAGACGCACATCAACCCAATGGCCTCCTGGAGTAAGCAGGCACCGAATGGCTGACAGAGGCCATGGAGAGGCAGTGGTAGCGGTGGACCATTGATAGGCTGGACCAGAGTTGCTTCGAGCTTATCCTGCTTTCAGCCAACCAGTCTTAAGCCTGACCACCATCCGATTTCATAACTTCGAACTTGTTTACACAGCACGCATAAATTAAACAGTGAGTGACCGATCTCATGAAATGTTGGCCAAAATTCTGAAATCCGTTTTTGATTAGGAAGGGTTACTTAAGTGGGGTTGTAATATTGATGATCCCGCGGCATAATCCTATAGTATTTCGGACTTCGCAGGATGCCGGCTTTTGAATGCGCATCTTTTCAATCTCCTGTAGAAACCGTACTCGGTAAAAAGTGATTACTTAGGTAGCATGCATTTTTCGATGATCTTATAGATTCAAATATACTTTATAAAAAACATGAACAAAATATTCTTTCTTTCACTTTTTTGATAAAGAATCGAGTCACCTTCATACTTTATAGTCGAAGAAGGACAATAATAAGGTTTTAAAAAAGTTTCTAATTATGAGATTTCCTAAGACCGTACAGTGTCCATTCATATAGCATCGTACCTGTCCGTTTACCACTGCTCCTCATGAAATTTTCAACATAGTCCGCATACATTGTAAAATTTTATGGACTCTATATGGCATCTTTTTAAAGACATGAAAAAATATATGGTTTTCCTTACGTAGAACGCATGCACCTTGTTGACTGAAATCACTAGGCTGATTCGGCTCCAAATTATTCAGGAATTAGAAAACTTTTTAAACACCTAATAATACTATTTCTTTGAGTATAAAATATGAAGTTGACGTGATTCTCTATCAATATTACAACCGCACCTAAGGAATCCTTCCTAATCGACAACGCATTTCAGAATTTTGGCCAACATTTCATGAGATCGGTCACGCACTGTAGGCACTTTTTCGGACCGACATGGTCAGGTTTACGGCTGACTGCATGGAGGATGAGTCATAAACAGCGCTCCACCCGCACCGCTTTCAGTTCAACCCCTCAATAATCAGTTTGCCCTCCTTCTGAATAAACATTCGAAGAACTCTTCCTTCACATGTTCATGACTTGTCGTTTTGTCGGAACCAAACGCTCTCAATTTTGGCAAATTCACCTCAACGGATTGGAGTCCTCGATTTTATGTGAAAGTCGTTGAGTAGGTTCTGGGAGAGAGGGTAACACCCTTGCCATGTTTTTACCTGTTAGGACCCGGCCTGGCACTTGAAAGTACGTGGGAGCGTATGCGTACTCGACCCTTGTCCCCAATACCAACGCGGCAGAGAAGGAGAACGCGACCGGCCAAGAAAATGTGTATAAGGAAATTGCAAGCCAAAATTAACTGGATGTAACGCATATTTATAACACCCTACTGTGCTTCGCCGGCGTTCGGCCCAATGCCCTTCGGGAGGAACATTCCAGACGAGCCGGTCGATAATTCAAATATGCAGATCGATCAGGCCAGAGAGGAAAAGCCAATGGCGAGGCGCCACGATTAAGATGGCAGCGCAGTAGAGAAAATGCACGTGGCCTCCAGTGATTGGCTGGCTCTTGTTTTTGGGAGTGTAGGCACTCCGACCATTAACGACAAAGGTGATTCCACTGTCCGAACTTTCTTTAAGATGGCCGCTCCATAGAAAATCACCTAATCGCCGCCTAGTCCAGCTTTCCTTGTTCGGGGAATCAAGTCTTGTCGAAGCCGATAATACCCACCTTGTACCGAGACAGTTTTCAAACGACTAAAGCTACCCTCTTTACTGGGCGATTGAACACATGGCTTTCTGGAAGAGGACGGAAATCGCAGGTTTCCAAAATGAGTCGGACCCATCCGACAGAAGTGGGGATGTGACCGAAAGCTCTTTTCCGAAATGTTTCGATCATGTTCAGACGACGTGCTAACCAGCAGTTTTGGGACATGTCCTGGCCGCTTAGGCTGTGAAAAGGTAGGAAGTAATTTCTTAAATAGGGCTCCTCGGACATTCCGGTTGGCCGTCGAAATGAACAATAGCGACAAAACTACGTGAATTGTAATAGGTGGGCTAACACATGAAATGTCAACCGAAATTCCGAAATGCGTTTTCGTTTTGAAAAGATTAACTAAAAAGGGTTGTAAAACTAGTCAGCCTGCAACATAATTCTATAAATGGCATCGTACGATGAGACTTTCGACAGAAATTTATCCACTTTCTTTGTCTTCTTGCACTCCATTCTTTGTGTTGCCCCATCTGTAAACCCCCCCCCCCCACCCTTATTCAACGTATGACACAGTCCACTGGATAAGTCAAGCTAGTTGGGGCCGCACACCCTATCGTTACCGAGGGTCGGTTTGTGAAGTACCGTGTGTGAAGAGACACACATTTCGGGCACTCCTATCTGATTTGGCTCGTCGGTCGAACAGCTTCATAAAGCCATTTATGAGTGTTGCACCACCAGGCTCAGTGGGCGTCGCCTGTGCCAATCGTTTTGCAGGATAGTTGCTGGTAGTGCATGTACGACATAGTATACTCGTCGGTTTAAGGCTGCGCAACGTTCATCTTGTCAGATCGCTGAAACTGACGTGGCCGTGTAACTTCAAGATGAATCCCACCCGCAGTACCACGTGCATCCCTGTATCACAGGTACTCGGTAATTCATGGACGTATACGTACGGCTGGAGAAACCCGGCCTGTGCAAACAGTTGGGCCACGTGGTCAGCCTCAGCTTGTCCTGGTAAATCTCAACCCTTTTGATTTGCATGTCCTCTCTACGTGCCAACACCCCCATGTTCTCTTCTAAGTTGTGTTTTTAAATTATCAATTTATTGATTGATTTGCCTGCAGTAAACGACGACCTTACTGTTTTGTATTGTTCAGATTAGCAAAGTTGAGATATCCGGGTTGATTAATGGAAGACGAAGACAGGCTCTCCGGAAGAGGTTTATTTAAGTGTTGACGTTTCAAAGAGCTGGTCGGCTCTTCATTGTCAAAGCGTTAAATGCACTTAATCGATCAGAAATTTAATCTAAAGTGGCAGTCGTGTTGGCCGGCCTCACGCTGATCGATTTTTTCCTCCTCTCGCTGCCTCGGCCTCTCGGGAGATGGTTGACGGGCGTTTTGCCTGTGTGCTTTGTGAGTCACCACTCCGTCGAGGGGAACTGATTGGACTTTAGTCGGGCGGTTGGTCTGGCGGTTCTTCTTCTTCCTCACCGAGTAGACTCAGCGTCGGGCTATCTCCGTGTGGCCTTCTTAAGTTCGATGTGGTTGTTTGGTCCTGAGCTTTACGATTGTGATGACGTAGGACTTTGTAAGCTGCAGGAAGGTCCAGATGCCTGTTGGTAGAGTGGGCATCGGAGAACCACGCCTCGAGAGTTAGCCGTTCTATTTTTGTGTTGCCTCGGCCTAAGATGGTAGCCCTCTGGAGGTCAAAAGTATGCCCCGTTTCTCCAACGTGTGTTGCTAGTTGAGAGTTAGGATCTAACCTCCGAGTGGCCGCTTTGTGTTCCTGTAGGCGAGTTTGCAACTTCCGCCCCGTTTCCCCCACATAGTTGCAGTCACCCTCATTGCAATTCATTTTGTAGATGACTGCTGAGGTTTCAGCGGGTGGCAATGGGTCCTTAGGCTGCGTTCGGCGACGTCGAATTGTTGCTTGTGGTCGATGGGCTATGCCTACTCTGGTGGGATGTAACAGTCGCGAGACCGCTTCAGAGACCCCTTTAACGTGAGGAATGGCCCTCCAGACTTCTGTTTGCTGCTGATTTGGTTGTCGTCTGGGCGCCCAACGTCTGCTTCTCTCGATGAAATGCCTGGGATAACCATTGACTGCAAATAGGTTCACAAGGTACAATCGTTCGGCCCTTTTATCTTCTGGTGTGCTGCAGTGTGTTTCGACTCTTTGGAATAGAGTGCGGACACAACTACAATTGTGAGACAGAGGATGGTTGCTGTTGAAGTGTAGGATCTGTCTCGTGTCGGTGGATTTTCGGAATACTGTAGTTTGCAGCTGTACAGTGGTACACCGGCGCACAAGTACGTCAAGGAAGGGCAGTTGGTTGTTTGTTTCTGCTTCCATCGTAAATTGGATATCCGGGTCAACCGAGTTCAGTAGTTCTTTTAGGTGTTCATTGTCAGTTGTTTTGACAACTACGAAGGTGTCATCGACATAGCGGGCCCAGAACTTTGGTTGATACTTGGTGAACACCAAATGTTCTACCCGTTGAAGAACTACTTCAGCGATTAGGCCTGAGATAGGAGAGCCCATAGGAGTGCCTTTTATTTGTTCGTACATTTGTCCGCCGAAGGTGAAATAGGTCTTGAGACAGTATCGCAGAAGCTCGAGCAGATGCTCAGACTTCAGGGGTTTGTCTCCTCATAACGCTCTGCCAGTAGTTGGTCCACAACGTCTATCGCTAGTTGCTGTGGAATGGAGGTGAAGAGCGAAACGACATCAAAGGATACCATGGACTCGTCTGGCTCTAACCTCAGATGTTTTATGCGTTCGAGGAATTGATACGCAGATGATACTGTTGTTGGTGAGCCTTCAGCCAAAAACTTAAGACGACCGAACATCCATTTTGCCAAACCGTACGTCGGAGTTCCACGAAGGGATACGATTGGCCTGAGTGGGACATTTGCCTTGTGTACCTTCGGTAGACCGTAAAAGCGAGCCGTGGCGGTGTCAGTGGGTTTCATGGAGAACCAGTCGTTGGGTGTAATTGCCCCCTTGGATCTGAGATTTCTTAGGCTTTTGTTTATCCGAGTGATTAGATTTTTTTCCGTAGAAGTTCAAATCTCTACGTCCTTCACATTTGTCATGTCTGTTATGCAGCGACAGGTTGCAGTTGGTAAACCGTCGCGAGATTTGTTGATCCCAATAAATTCTGCTGTGTATGCCTGCTTCACATTCATACCGGGGAACTATTTCTGCGAGTTTTTAGACAGTGTTCACTAGTAAGGCGTCCTCAGTCGCCTTCGTTGGGAATGACTTTTGTATGGCTGAGCAGTATCGGTGGGATCGCGTTGTAGGCCGTTTAGATGGAATACGATAGAACTTGTGCGACTTTATTTGAAGTTTAACCAGGTTGTGTTGAAATTATGCCATCTGGCTCGGTAAGATCTTATTTCGTAGCCGCACCTGTTAAGGGTTAGGGGTTATGGGTTTGGGGTTACTGTTAGGGGTAAGGCTTAGGGTTAGAGTTAGGGGTTAGTGTTAAACCCCCTTCTACAACCGGTCCCGTATGACAAGCGGATGGGGCCTTCCTACCGCGGGTGTGGCTACGAAATAAGATCTGGCCTCTGTCTCTTATGAAGGACTGGCGTTTAAGAGACGAATGTTATACTCCTGGCACTTAACTGAAGTGGAGGTCCCTTACTCTCCTCTGTGTCTATAGCGGCATGCAAACGCATTATGTTTCTCATAAGTCACCTCCGACCTCATTGTCATCCATATAGCCCAGAATATTTTTTTACCTAGAAGGCGAAATTAAGCAAACTATGGATCATGCGGTCTTCTTAAAGCACATTGCAGAGAAGAGACAACAGTTTGGGCACTGTTCATAGTCAATGCAGTTCCAAAGAAGAGACGTTTACCGGAAGAGGTTCTTTAGAGGTCTGACGCTTCGAGTAGTTACTTCGTCTACCCATCTTCGGAGATTGGAAAGTCGTGTCCACTGCTCTCATTATATGGCATACTTTGCTTGGTGCTTCTGCCATCGATGCCGCCTGTGTGGCTGAATCTGATTCCTATTTCACCTTGACCTGTGGCACCCACCGCCCCACATTGACCGCGGAGATAATTGGCGGCCCGATTGTTCCGCTCCGTGACTGTTCCCCGTCAAGAAGGTGCGAAAACTACATACAGTAGGTGGGCCAACTCATGAAATGTCAATCGATTTCCAAAATTCGTTCTCGTCTCGAAAAGATTAATTAAGTAGGATTGTAAAACTAAAAATCATGCAGAATAGTTCTAAAATAATTCAGTTACCTCCGTATGCCGGCTTTCAAACGAATTTCTTTCCGGCCGCATGCAAAAACTATACTCCGTAAAAAACGACTACTTAAATAGAATGCATTTTCCTCATTGATTTTTGATGCCCTTAAATATTTAATTATATTTCATTGAAAATATGCATGAAAATATTTATTATTTTGCTCATTCGGTAGAAAATTACTTCTTCCAATTTTGTACTCAGAGGAAGGGTATAATTCGGTTTTCAAAAAGTTTCTAATTGTGAGATTTTTTAATACCCTGAAATGGTCGTTCATAAAACGCCATGTTCCTGCATTTACCAATTTGACTCGTAGGGTTAACAATATGGCTCAAACCCACTGTTGAATTTTATGAATCCCATATGGTGTCCACTTAATACCGTACAGAAATGTAAGGATTTCCGTACGCGGGAAGTAAACAGCTTGTAGTTTAGAAACCTTTGAATGCAAGTGTAACGGCAGGCCGAGTTCGAAATTATTCGGGAATTGGAAAAGTTTTTGAAAACCGAATTATACCCTTTCTTAGAGTATAAAATTAGAAGAAGACGTCATTTTCTACCGAATGAGCAAGAGAATAAATATTTTTGTGCATGTCTTCTATGAAATATAATTGAATATTTAAGGGCATCGAAAATAAATGAGAAAAACGCATGTTACTTAAGTAGTCATTCTTCACAGAGTGGCGTTTTTGCATGCAGCCGGAGAAAAATCCCTTCGAAAGCCGGCATCCTGAGGTAACTGAATTATTACGGAATTACGCTGTACAAGGATAAATTTCACAACTCTACCTACTTGATCTTTTCGAAACAAAAACGCATTTCGGAATTTCGGTTGACATTTCATGAGTTGGCCCACCTACTATAGGGGTGGCAAATTAATGTGGCAGTTGACAGAGCAGTCGGTGGACATTCAGCCTTCTCGCACCGGCTTTACTCCGTGATCATCGTCTCTCAACGGCGTCGAAGTTGAAGATGTGCCGCATTTGCGCGACGTGAGTTGCTACCTAGGACTTTGGGTCCAACCTTCGCACAGCCAGCTGGTGCTCATGGATTAAGTTTTGTGGCCTTCGGCCGGTTTCTCAAACTTGGTTGCGAATCTCGCAGTTGCCCTGAAGTTTGAAGACAACGGCCGACATCTACTGCTTAGAGGAAGGAGCTTTTGGCCGCATCACTTGCCGGCGGATTTTAGGGTCAGGCCAGTGGGCAACCCCCATCCCGTGTGGCGTGAGGGATCTAACCACAGTTTCGGAGACCCCCTTCGTATACGGAAGGCACTGCTACAATTTTGGCTGACCAAGCTGCTAATTCTGCTTTCTTGCGTTCGGCCTTGTCCAGCATATGCTTGCGGACAGCCGCTAACTGCAAAGAATTCTCGAAAGAGCTTCATCTCGTTCAGTTTGACGGCGGGAGTGCTACAATGAGTTTCCGCCCAGCGGTATGGCGTGCGTACACAGTTTTGTTTGTGTTGCGGTGGGTAGTTGGTGCTATAACTGAACATTTGTGGGGTTCTCGTCGGTTCTCCATGGACTGTCGTCGCCAGTTCGTCGGCAGATGAAAGGGCTCGAAGTTGGCTCTGAGAATTTCGTTCTCGCAGATTAATCTTGTAAGTTCAAATCCGGGCGATCACAGTGGCCCCGGCAGTATGAAATGTTTCCCCGCCTTAGAAGTAACCAGTTTAACGTGTGCAGATGCCTTTGCTCCATTTATGATTCGAAAACGTAGCCCCTATCCTGTTTATCTGAACTATTACTACGTCAAATCATAAACTTAGTTTTACGCCCTCAAGAGGATCAAGACAGTCCAAATGCAGATCTACTCCGTCAATACTCCAGCCAAGATGGAAATGAAAATAGATCAGGCTGGCAATCTTTTACAATATCATGTGACATTGTTTCCAATATTTCGTGACGCATATGCAAACCCCCTCCCGGGTCGCGAAGCACATAAAAATGAGTAAATGAGTATACCTTTGGGGCAATCTTCGTGGTAAATGACGAAGGAAAAATAGGTTGTCAATTCCATGATGCCAGATAAATCTTGGAAATAGGAGGGGATAGATCCAGTAGAGCAGTTAGACTTCTTCGTTTTTACTCATAAATGGAAGTTCTTTTCCGAAATCTGTATTTGCATTGTCGAATATTTGTGAGAATGATTTCGCTATGAGGAAGTGGAAGAAGATAATGACGGTGGTGGTGGTGGTGGTGGTGGTGGTGGTGGTGGTGGTGGTGGTGGTGGCGGTGGTGGTGGCGGTGGTGGTGGTGGTGATGGTGGTGGTGGTCATGGGGTCTCTGATGAAGTAAATTTATTCCACCGGACCTTTCAAATTCGCGCCCGAGTTCGCCTTTAGATGGTGAGACATTTCTAACACCCGCCTGTTTTGTCTAAGTTGCAGTATGAGTCACAGAGTCTGGACCTGCCTTTTAACTGACAGGTGCGCAGCGTCTGGTATGTCTGTGGGAGGTCCAGCCAGAAATTACCTGTGTTTTCGTCAGACTGCCAGGATTCTCTCATCCCCACCCTCCCCCCCCACTCGACAGACTGTTTTGCATTCCCCGGGTCATTACCTGCGTGCGCGTAAGGGTAACATGGTGGTCATACGTCATCATGCGACAAGCTAACATCACTGACTAATTGCCGCATCTCGCCTCGGTCGCTTTGCCAAATTATGGCTTCTCTCGCTCGCATACTAATTTGAACAACTTCCTGGAGTATACATTCCAATTCAGTTAGTGGGAAAGCTTAAAGTATGCACACAACTAGAAAAGAGTGCTTACTTGATGTCGCTCTGCTGATTATTCTGCACTACCTCGGAGATAGTAATTTCCTGACGTTTCGTAGTCGCTCATATAAGCGGACAAATCACAGATTAGTGAAGAACGTCAATAAGATTCTCGAAGTCTGTACAAATTTAGCCATTTCTTTTGAAAAAACTTTGGAGTTCTACGCCCATTTTTACGAAATTATGACGTATTCAGTTTTGCTGAATAAAGAGGGAGACATTTTTATTTCTAAAAGTGCACAGGGATGACAATTTCTGATGCACACCTGTAGCATACGACGTGACCTATACTCACTGCGACCTTTCACAACAACTCGTAGACCTCTACAAAAATACTTTAAAACGCATAGCATGGAAATATTATTTTGAAAAAATGAAAAACACACGTTTTACTCCCGGGTTTATATGAATTCGTAACATTTCTCTAAACTGGACGATTCTCCCTCTCATGCTCTGCGTTGGAAGAGGAAGAAAACTTATGGTGTACAAACAAAGCCTGAGAAATGAAATTTTTCTTCATCTCCCCAACGAAATATGATCGAATTTATGCAAACAATAGAAAGCAGTGGAAGTAGGAACTGCTATTCTGGTAGAATCTAACAAAGCATATATGTATGTTCATTCAGGAATGGGCGCACACCGATCCATTGGCTTCCCAAAGCAAAAGATCTTCGTATGGCTAAACGCTCAGTGGTGGATGCGCGGCGTCGACTCTGTGTGGGCATGTTTGTGTTCCCAGTCCCGGCTATTAGTCAGGGTCGTGATTGACTGAATGAAGGTAAACGGGCCCGAAACGGTTCCACATCAATCTTCTTCCCAGACTCTGTCGTCTCCCATCTCATACATACATATATGCGTAAACATTCAAGGTCTAGACATCGTATCGCGTTCATCACCTCCCTGAGAGGACGGAGAAGAAGGGGGGGGGCGAATCTATGGACCAGATTATATTTTAACCAACGTTTCGGATACTTCCTCGTTTCCATCATCAGATTAGTATGCATTTTGTTCCTGTCGATAGCGGCTGGCAGTGCAGTGGCTGAATCAACATTTGCACACTGTTCTCTGGTAATAGTGTTAACCAGAAACATTGGTAAGATTATATGTGAAGCGACGTGCGGTTGTTTTCCCTAACAGTCAATATCGTAACTGAAAATGAACAATTATCCTTTCTTTGCTTAGAATAGTATGTTAACAATCATTCGTCAATGCTTCATGCATTTTGGTGCCTGTAATATGAGTGGAACCGGTTTGATTTACACCATACGCAGTTTTGTCTGCATGAGATCGAAGTAGCGGCAGTTACATCATACTGAACGATGAAGAACAGGCCACGCACACCGGCCCTTCAATCGACTTAAAAGGGGCGCTCAGAATGTAGCACTAGGTTACTGTTTGCAGTTGGATGGAAGACTTCTCCTCCTCTCAAAATTTCGACTCTAGTGGGAGGGTGCGGGTTGACCGTCTAATTATGGTACCGCCGACGAAATTTCGACACTTCTGGGCTGGTCGGTGTGAAGAGTGATGGGACCAGACGCCATGCGCACTGGTCTCGGGACACTCAGTAGGATTTTGTCAGAAATACCTGAATTAGTCTTCCTTAAATGCTTTTATCCCGGGTAATTAATTAATCTTGGAAATGAGACGTACTCCAATCGGAATAAAAAAAATCAAAGCACATGATTTTTCGCAAACACAGGATTAGATGACGTCAAGATGCTTCACTTTTCAAATATCGCTTTTTCGAGGAAAGCAAATAGCGAAAATAGGCTCATAAGTGAAGAAGAAGAAGAAGAAGAAGAAGAAGAAGAAAAAAAAGAAGAAGAAGGGAGGTCGAGCACCGAAACAGTTCGTTTATTGTTATAAGCTTTCGAACTCCTGCCGGAGTCCATCGTCAGAGATAGTACCAGCAACAGAACAAGTGACAGTTATAGGGCTTGTTAGCCAACCATCGATCGATGGCGCAAGATTGGAGGGGATTGTGCAGGGTCCTGTGCACCGACACCAGATCGGTCATAGGCTCATACATACAATTACTCATGTGGCCGCATCGTGTCACACTATACCTATTGAGGTCATGAGAGTTCTTCCTCACAACACGACCAATAAGCCTCGTCTTTTCTGTTCAATCTTGCGTAATTTATTGGTCGCGACTCCGACCAATTGTCATATTGATCGTCCGGACTGATTTAACTTGCCCCTACCGCCTTCTTTCGTTACTCGCGTTATTCACCTACAAAAGACGAATTGGAAGTCCTCGCCAGTTGCTCGGACTTCAATAACTGCAGCGCTTTTCCGAATGTGCTGGCAGTCCACATTCTCGTTACCTCTGTTTCGTTGTTGTCTTCCCGCGCGGGCCAATGGCTCGTTCATCTTGCACGTGACTTTGGTTATAGTGGAGGATAATGACGCGACAAAGGGGCCACCATATCTGGTTTCGTACTCCCAATGTTCCCCAAATGGCCGTACGGGATCCAAAAGACTGGATAGGGGTGGGAAGGCAGTGGCCAACCGGATATTCGTTTCTTCTTCCGACGACATAGAGTAGGTGAGTTAACTCATGAAATGTCGGCCGAAATTCCGTAATGCGTCTTCGTTGCGAAAAGATTAATTAAGTAGGTTTGTAAAACTAGTCAGCCTGCAGTAAAATTCTATAATAATTCAGTTACCTCAGGATGACGGCTGTCGAACAAACTTCTTTTCCGCTGCATACACAAAGCATACACTGTAAGAAGTGATTACTTAAGTAGCATGCAATTTTCTCATTGATTTTCGATGCCCCTAAAAGTCCAATTATAGTTCATGGAAAGCATGCATAAAAATATTCATTCTTTTGCTCAGTCGGTAGAAAATTACGTCTTCTCCTAATTTTCTACTCCAAGGAGGGATATAATTCGGTCTTAAAAAAGTTTCCAGTTGTAAGACTTTTAAATACCGTGAAATGGCCGTTTACGAAACGTCATGTCTTTGCATTTACCAATGTGTCTTGAAAATTTAACAATTTGGATCAAATCCAATGCTAAATTTTATGAACCCCATATGGTGTTCGCTTAATATCGTACAGAAACGCATGGTTTTCCGTACGCGGAAAATATACAGTTTGTATTTTGGAAACCCCGAATCTAAGCGTAACGGTAGAGCGGGTTCAAAATTATTCGGGAATTGGAAAAGTTTTTGAAAACCGAATAATACCTTCCCTTCGAGTACAAAATTAAAGGAAGGCGTAATTTCTACCGAATGAGCGAAGGAGTAAATATTCTGCTTCATGTTTTTCCTGAAATATAATTGGACTTATAGGGCATCGAAAATCAATGAGAAAAATGCATGCTACATAAGTAGTCATTTTTTACAGAGTATAGTTTTTGTATGCAGCCGGAAGGAAGTTCATCCGACAGCCGGCACCCTGCGGTAACTGGATTATTATAGAATTATGCTGCACGGTGATTAGTTTTACAACCGTACTTAATTAATCTTTTCGAAACGAAAACGCATTTGGGAATTTCGGTTGGTATTTCATGAGTTAGCCCACCTACTGTACGCGCGTTGGTCCCCAACTCACACCATATAGACATTTGGCGACTGGGATTCCTCACGATGAACCAAAAACGAGCCGCTGTGGTGTGACCGCTTTTTCATGCAGACTGAATTATTACGCCATCTATATTCCCACTGTAGACCGCAACTTCTGAGACAGCCTCACAGCCCAATCACTGGAGGATTTAGTCTGGTGAGAAAACACTGTAAGTCTCAGTCCCGCTCACCCACCCGCCCATAGTCGACCGAGTTCAGTCGAATCGCAAACAGCGGATTAAATTACATGAAGCGCCCGTTTCTGGCGTATCACAGACGTCTTTGGTTCTCCGTTTGGATTGGACCCTACAGGGTCAGCCCTTTGGGGGTCCCACCTCGAGACCCACTCACAATACGGTCCCTCGGGTTGTTCTGGCATTTATGGGTTTAGGTCCCTTCAGTCTGAGGATTCTTTCTCTCTTTATGTCTGTGTATAGACTTTTAAGCACTTCCTCATGCCCCCCCCCCTTAGATATAAGTCTTAATCAGCTTCTTCTGCTCGTTGCAGGGGGCCAAAATGTCAAGGTATACGTGTCAGAATAACACCAGAACTGTAGCATGAAAAATGCCCCTTTATCTGGCAGGTCGCCATTAGTGATGAAGATTTCCGGCCCAAAACGAAGTAGCCAATCAGCTTGTCTCACAAGGCAAATATAGAGACGGGATCTCTTGTACCCTAAATATACACTCGAGGTTGCTGCATTCACTTTGGATTGTTTTGTAGTGCGTGCCCACCTGATGACTCGATGCAGCACAGACAATCAGAGGGAGTGGTCAAGTGCTGACGCGGAAGAAAAAAATTGTTTGCTGTTGTTTAAGTCATTCTGGTTTTTTTCTTTTGCCAGTTATTTTGGAGTACCCTTCCAACCGTTGTTAACCAGGTTAAACCACTGCACCAGGTTAATAGTGGTTAAGACTTTATCATAGTCATCTTTAGCACACTTTCTTTGCATCTAATGCACGGAAATTTCCTGCGAAACCAGATCTGGTTATAATAA